AAACGCACTTTTGAAAACGATAGCGTTATCGTCTCCATGTAAACTACATAAACCCGAAATTTGTGAAAACGGTGGCATCATGCGCATGCATATAACGTCTATAGGTGTGTAGTGTTTCCTTACTAAGTGAGATCGCCAACTACTGGTCTGGAAGATGAATACAGCATTTTTAGTCACTTAATTGTTACATTTTAAAGGCGTAGCTTAATTAATAATGACGTCATTTTTTGTTGCTATTCTCAGTTACGGCTCAGTTCAACCCCTTGCATGTGAAAATGAAGCGGTACTGGAAATAAATAATAATAATAATAATAAAGAAAAAGATTTTTTTCACGTTTGCTATTAATCTATTACATTTCACACTCTCAAAACCCTTGCTGTAAACACCCACAAACACAAGCCTGGCAGATTATAAATCAGTCATTTTGCCATTAAAGATTCATGCAGTTCATAAAGCATAACTCTGGGTGTTTATATATACATATGTTTTTCCACACTAAATATGATTTTCCAGGCTTAGCCTGTGCATCGAATGGAGTATCTTTCAAGAGGGGTTTAAAGAAACAGGGCCACTCATTATTTTGAGAACCATCTGCTAGTCAGGGTTACAGACTGCAGAAGGATCTATTTCCTCTCCTACTCGATGATCTCCTGTAGCTGCGTTTGAACTTGAAACATTTCGGTTATCAGCCCAGCTTCTTAACCACTACGCCACCACAACAAAACATTGAGAAGAGGGAATGAATCTAATTAAATTAAACATTTCATGGTCTACCAACTAAACAACACTGGCTCCAAAGTCACCATCCACAGCTAGTTATGCCTCATTCCCTCCACGTCCTCCACTCTCCAAGTACAAAATGACAAATCAAGCAGCTTTACAACCCATCCATGTGCTTCTCAATAGCCACCAGGCACTGTTTGATTGTGTATCAGCTTCATGGAGCAGCGGATATTGGCTTTGTTTGCCTACGGCTTAGTCGTTTTTCATCTGGGTCCCTTTTTTTCCATTTGGTATCCGAGTTCACTGAAATGTGTACAATTAGGATCCCAGGAAAGACTAATAAACAAATTTGACAAATTGCCAGTGCTAGTAGAATTAATACACAAAATGAAAGAAATAAATCCAATTTACAATCCGCTTGTCCCATGTTAAAAAACTAAAAATCAACATATACAGAAAAGTTAGTAAAATCACATAAACATACTCACATATATACATATAAAATCACATATACACACATATATATTTCCTATTTGTTAAATGGAAAAACATTTTTAAATAAGTTTGAGTTTTCCTACATCTTGAAATAAATGGGAGTCATCTTTGCAGGATGAACAAATCATGTTTTGGTCATCACATTAAAAATAACATTTAAATATATATAAAAGTTTTGAAGTGCTGGAAAAAGATGTGTAAAGTACTTGAAAGTATGTCACTATTCCAGCCAAACTGGTTCCAGTTAGTGTTACTATATTAAATCCATGGTGAATGTTGCTGCCGGTCTGTGGACGTAAAGTGCAGTAGTTAATTTACGGCACAATGTTTCTCATGGTTTCCACATCAGCGCTGTTTGATCTAATAGAGATCTACGGTTAATAACGGAGAAATGTGAATGCTTCTCACTAGCACATAATGCACACATAAAGCACATAATGAGTAGCACAGTTTCGTTCCGCTTTCAGTATGCTTGTCATTTGATGTTGCGCAACCTTGTGGTGGCCGCGGCAACGCAAATTTTGACGGCAGGAAAAATGGTCCAAGGAATCGTTCAGTTTGTATGCGTACCGAACCGGAAGCCTCGAACCGAAACGGTTCAATACGAATACATGTACCGTTACAACAACTATATATATATATATATATATATAGAGAGAGAGAGAGAGAGAGAGAGAGAGAGAGAGAGAGAGAGAGAGAGAGAGAGAGAGAGAGAGAGAGAAATAATTGCAGAAAGTATTTGCAACAAGGTTTTCCCAGATTTAAATATATATATATATATATATATATATATATAGAGAGAGAGAGAGAGAGACAGAATGAAAGATTCATGATTCGGACACGACATTGACACCTTATGCAATCAGCTGTATTGTTATTGCTTTGGCTGAGATGAATTAAATTAATCTTCCTGGTCGCCTCCAGGTGCTTCAAAAGCATTATCCTGCATGCGTTGCATTTCTCTACCCACAAACAAATCTAATTTATTTAATTATTAGGCAACAAAGCAGCACAATATGACTGATGATATTCCATTGGTTTTGGGGGTTCAAAACAGGCTGGAGAATCAGAATTGCATCTTTAGAGGCCTGTGAAATTAAGCTGATTTAACAAAGCTTGCTTAGTTAGGGATTGTCTCCACATTGGAGATAAAATGGGCAAATCAGAGGTACACAGTGCCCGCCCTCCCCTCCCCCCATGCACACCACTGAGAATGCAATTTTGGCTTGATTTGGAAGTCATGGAACCGCTCATAGGAAGTACATAGTGAAGAGAAAGGAGAGAAGAGATGCATTAAGGGAATACAGTCTGCCAGCTTCGGAATAATGTAAAATCCTAAAGACAGATAATTCACAGATTAGTCCGGATCAAGGCCTTGTGGAAGAGAAAACCCATCAGTGCCCCAAAAGGACTAGTGTGAATCCTTTTCTCAGGTGGAAATCTGAAGGTTTGCCAATTGTGCAAGATATTAAAATTACCATATGAATATGGAGTCTTTTTCATTCTGGTTAAAGCAGATTAAAATCCATTTGGGAAACTAATCATCAAATTTCACAGCAAAAATATATATATATTTTTTTATTTAAAAAATATTTACATACAAATGTTTTAAATATGTATTATCTTATAGATAACTATATTAGATTTAGAATATATAAATCTAATTTATAAATCTAATTACACAATAACTTTATTTTTCAAAATAGCATTACATAGTTCAAAATACTCAAAAAAAAAAAAAAAACATTCACTCCCTTTATGTGGCTGAAATCCCTCTGAGAAAACACAAATTCTTCTTAAATGTGAAGTTATGGAATCAATTTCACACCTTTGTTTCCTACTTCAATCTGTAAGGCACATGAGGGAATTTGCAGCCGACCTAAATTTAAACCAGAGTTCAATTTACTCTGGATATATGAATATGATGAAAATATGATCCTGCTAAGATTTACGCACTCCCTGAGCACACTAAAAATTTAGGCAAGGACAGAGACACCACAAATCACAGTCAATGCCGGTGTCACTCACTGTAATATGTACGCTTTCATAAGCTTTAAAAATGGCAGCAGTCTTCAGACTTTAATTGAATCAGTTCTGTTTGGAATGGTACTCAAGGGGGTAATGAAGAGCTTGGGATTGTCCGACACCTTCTGTGTGGAACAAAGTCGAATTACGAAAAATGTGTGTTGGTAGGCAGCAGGAATGGGGATTGTGAGTATGCAGTGAAAAAAATGTGTATTCAAGTTTTACAGAAATGGCAACATTATAGTGATCCATGATTGAAATTATTCAATTCATGATTCATCAATTTACTCATTCACCAATTAATTGATTCACTGATTCTTTAGCAGGATGGCCTGTTCACACCAAGAACATTAACAAGAGCTATATAGATACAATAAGTTTTGGTATAGGATTTGAGCTTTGTGACATGGTGCATTATCCTGCTGGAAGTAGCCATCAGAGGATGGGTACATGGTGATTATTATATTGATAATTATAATTATAATTTAGATAATTATATTGTTTTAAGTCATCACCACCACCACAACAACAACGATAATGACAGTATAACACTGGAATCACTTTCAAAATAACCAAAATTCCAGCTGATGAAAGATAAAAACTAGGGCTGGGCAACGATTAATCACAATTAATCGCGATTAATCACATCCAAAATAAAAGTTTGTGTTTACATAATATGTGTGTGTAGTGTGTATAATTATTTTGTATGTATAAATACACATAAATGCATGTATACAGTATATTTAAGACAAATGTGTTCTTAATATATTAAATGTTTATTTATACACATGATATTAATTATGTATAAATATATATATATATATATATATATACATACATGCAAATATTTCTTAAATATATACATGCATTTGTGTGTATTTATATATACAAAATAATTATAAACACAACACACATATATATTATGTAAACACAAACTTTTATTTTGGATGCGATTAATCGCGATTAATCGTTGCCCAGCCCTAATAAAAACATTGACAACCAATCAGAATCCATCTGACTTTAAAGAGACCAGGCATTTAAATCAGCAGTGGACAAAACTTCAGTGTGTGCTTGAGCTAAACAGAAAGCTATCGCACGTTGGTGTGGGCGCTATTGTTATCATGGTAATACTTAACAATAAGGTTCATTAGTTAACAACATTAGTTAGCATGAACTAAGAATGAACAATACTTCTTTAGCCTTCATTAATCTTCGTTAATATTAATTTCAACATTTACTAATACGTTATTAAAATCAAAGGTTGTAATTGTTAACATTGGTTAATGCATTGTGATGAAAAAAACAATGAAAAGCTGTATTTTTTATTAACTAACATTAACAAAGATAAATAAATACAAAATACAAATGTATTGCTCATTGTTAGTGTATTTTATTTAATACATTAACTAATGAACCTTATCGTAAAGTGTCACTGTTATCATTATAGTTGTTAACGGTATGAACAGACCTAAACAAAGCACAGTAACAATGCATGTCGAACATGACAAAATGAACGAATTGCGGTTCAGTAATTGAATCTGAATAATTCAGTAACCAGTAGGCCTAATTCAGTTTGACCCAAAATTGGCTCATTTGTTTGGGAATCAAACGGCACTGCTTGTCCCGTATGTTTCATGCAATTTTCAAAGAATGCAAACTCAAGGAACAGAACTACAATAAAAAATTGGAAACATGGTGTCCATTTGGTACTCACAAGTACTCACAAAAAATACATTGGTGTCCATTTGGTACTCACAAGTGGTGGGCTTGTTGCAGTTGTGCCCGTGCCGGAAATACTGTGGGTTCTCGATCACTGGGATACGGGTCATACCGATCACCACAGCGTCTGGCCCAGCGTCCAGGGTACACGGGGTTATGATGCCGTGATTGACGTGATGGAGGGGGCTGGCGGAGTCTTCTTCACCGCTGATCACAGCCACGGGTCCTGCAGAGAGAAAAAGAGAGCCATCACAGAAAATGACATTGGTTGCTTAATGGAAAATGAATGCAGCGTAATACGTCCGAGAGGGAAAAGCGGGCAGGCTCATTTGTCAGAATAAACGTTATCTCTTAGAGCTGCGACTGGCCTCTGAGCTCTTCTCTGTCATTTGGTCACACATTAACCGCCTCGGCTAAATTCAACCCCAGAAGCCTCAGCTGCCGTGGCCCCGGGCCGCGATAAATACCGACTCCCCAAGTTTCCCAAAGTACCATCATCGGCTCATTTAGTAGCGTCAACAAAAATACGCCCACATTCAGTTTTGGGCCTCCAAGCTGCCAATAAATAAATGACAGGCCTAGACATGAGAGAGTTTCAGAACAGCTGACTAAACCAGCACTTTCCCAATAGGCTCATTCCATCATTGTTCCTGATAAATTCAATTAAAATACATTCATTATTTATTGTTTAAATACAAACAATTTTGTATATCTTTAAATTTGTATTTACACCAAGTTCACGTTTTGATACATTCTATACTTTCAGAAAATTTTGGTTTGGTTTCACACTGCAATTATGCGAGCGCACTAAAGAACTTTACGTGACATACTTGCGTACTGTCGTCATCATTTATGTGGGCTGCATCTTGACATTGATTGGTTTAGTAAATGGACGGGCGTCTGACGACAGCGTGTTGCCAATTCGCCGGGTAAATTTGACAACATGAGCGAATAGATCAATATCGTTGCAACTATATTGTTATTTTTATGGCATAATTACCTGCAGCACCAACTATACACAAGGCTAGTTCAAATTCGCCAAATGAACGTCCTCGTCGCGCGAACATTTTATCGTTGCTGACAGGAAAGGAGATTCTTATTCTGTCATCAGACCATACTTCAATTAAAAACCTCATTTCCTCATCTCCCCATGTGCTACCACGGCTCTTTTTTCGGCTTTTTTGGGAACCACCAGTGGTCCAGGGGAGGTTTCACACTTGTAATTTTGATTCGGACCAAACTGAAAAGTCCGAAAGTCCGGACCAAACAAGGTAGGTGTGAAAGGGCCCTAAGTTGTTGTATAAATTTTTAATATAGACCATTTCACAAGATGTAAACAACACTGGTCCAGAAGCACTTCCTGTTTCAGTTTGTAACTGTTTTCTTTATTTCACATGTAAAGAAAACATCTTAAAGATGTTTGTTTAACTTTTTGATTCAGTTTTAAATGTTCTGTTGATTGTATTTTATCCCAGCTTTTATGTAGTGTTAAAAAACTGAAACAGGAAGTGCTTCTGGACCAGTGTTGTTTACATCTTGTGAAATGGTCTATAGCAGACTGTTGAGGTATGAATTAGTAAGCAAACATTTGAATGCTTTGAATGTTCGACAACATAATAAATTGTAAGAACATAAAGAAACACTCAGGGTGTCATTCAAGGCTTTTTCTAAGAGAGTTTCAGGGTCGAACTGAAGATTCACAGGGCTTTTAGCTCTTAAGGTCAGGATCTTGACACAAGGCCAATGAGTGAATTGGATTTAGACAGAAAGTTGATATTTGTGTAGGTCATAGTACTCAAAGAAAGCTTAATGTTACAAATAAGCATTTCTGCTTCAGTGATAGAGACACAAAAACTCATTCTTATGAAAAAAAAACATGTAGAATATGCATTAGAGTTGTTTTTCCCCCTGGGAGAAGGTATCATGACAGGAAGACAGTCGGTAAAGTAAGACAAAAACAAGTAAACAAATATATAAATGAGCTGAATATTTTGAAATATCTTCTTCACTAATTTGAATGACTGTTTTATTACAAGTCGCCATTAAGGTTTAATTTGGAATTTAGTTGAACTGCAAAATGAAAAAGACTTTTATCTGATCTTATTCTGCTCTTTGTGAACTTCAATCAGAAATCCAATTGTAATGAGCAGCCGCAATCACATTTCTGGCTATAAATTGAGATTATTTTGAGACAATAACAGTGGTCTGCTGTGACATATTTAAGTGGAAATCTTGGGGAAAAGTCTTAATTAGTTTTAGCCTTTAAGACAGGAGGAGACGTTCAGTGTCAAATGACCCCTGCAGCTAATTGGGTCATTAAAATACTTTTCTTTTCTTTAATTGGAAAGTCTAAAAAGCCCCAAAAGAACCATTCAAATAATTGTTGTAAATACTAAAAGTCTTAGCAAGGTGAAAAAGGAACTAACACGATTACTCATGTTCTTTCAAACCATCACCCTGTTAATAGTCATATGGTCATTATTATTATTATTAATATCATTATTATTCAATGGCTCAAGCTATACATTCATTGTATCCTCAAAATAAATAGATGTTTTTAATAGCCTAGTTTCCGCTTCTGTGCATTAGTAATATTACATATTAAGCCTAAAACTAAAAGCACTCCTTAAAATCAATCTTTGGTATATCTTCTAGGTTATACTTAGAGATGCGCAAGGTCAAATGCAGCTGTTAATGCGCTTCAAAATAAATACATAAAGCATATCAAATGGCACTTTCAAAATCCTATTATACAGCTGGCACGGTGAATTGAAGATCGCATTCACTCGCTGTTGCCTTTTGGCATTTTGAGTTAGAAACTCCATCAATAAAGTGCTGGAAGCAATTTAGGAGGCCGAACTGAAAATGGGTAGCTTCCTCCTGTCGTCATCATCTCCATTAACCTAGACAACTGTGTTTTATCCATACGTTTATCCATTTGTTTTAAAGGACATCCTTCTCTGTCAGACAAAATGACAAAACAATTCATTATTATTGTAACTATTCCAAAGGATCCGTTTTCAGAAATCATAGAAATAACAATATATATATATATATATATATATATATATATATATATATATATAAGCGAATGTATAATCAAGCTGCTTTAAGTGTACTTTGAGTTCTCTGCTGGGACTGAGCAATACATGAAATGCTTAAAAAAAAAACACATTTCAGTGATGAATTATGTTTTTATTCCTTCTTCCCGTACAATGAAAGCCTCAAGGCCAATATTATTTAAGTGCCTACAAGGAGACATTATTTGATCTTTTTTTTTTCTATTTATGCATCGGAAGAACAAAGTCAGTTTAATAAGATTGTGAAATTGGTGGAAGAGAACCAGCAAAACCTCCATAAAGACAGTTTCTATGGGGTGGGAGGGACTAGAATGTAACTGGAAGTGCCTGGAATTAGATTGCTAATGACATCATTTTAAGACATAATGTTACATTTTGGTGTGTTCCTCAAACTTAATAAATGCAGAAGAGAGCTTCCATTTCCATTTATATTAATTATATGGAAAAGAGCAGCCTGGACATTCTCCTAAACATTTCTTTTTGTGTTTTACTAAAAAAAAAAATGATGCAGGTTTGAAACTACATGAGAAAACAACGATAATCACTTTAAATCTGAATATAAAAATTAAAAAAATTAAAAAATGCTTGTCTTTTCTTCTTTTTTTATGCAGATGATGTGCTTTCCCTTTCTGGGCTGATTATCATACTGAATTCCACTTACAAGAAGTTCTCACACAGTTGTTAATTAGTGCTGAAAATGACTGCGGTAATCCTGCATGAGGACATGCATAACACATGCAAACTCGCACACAAATTATCCCCTTGCTGTATGTAGCACAGCAACTTCACACAGTTTGTGCCATATGAGTGACGGTACTGCATGGTAGACGCGTGTATTGTAACCCAGAATTACATTGAACTCACTTTTTGTCATCGCAATGATTTTTCCGAAGTGTGATAATAGTGGAGCTGTCTATCACATCTAAATGAGGCAGGAGGGAAATATATATATATATATATATATATATATATACACACACATATATATATATATATATATATATATATACAGTATATATATATATATATATATATATATATATATATATATTAATAATAATAATAATAATAATAATAATAATACAATTGTCCTATTTTTATGTTTAATTTTTATTTTTAATTTGTATTATTAGTGAATATATGAATTGAGATAATATTATATTATTGATATATGACAATAATATAACAAAATATTATTATTAAATTATTCATAATAATTAAATTACAATTTTCATTAATGATGTCATATTTGACATCATACAATTATTTCATTAATTTTATTATATTAATGCTAGTTTTAATAATTGTAATACACATTAATAATAATTTATTAGAAATATATTGTAATATTCCATATTAATTATGATGTAATTTTATTTTATATAATACATATACACTTTAACATATATCATATATATATATATATATATATATATATATATATGCACAAATGCTGGGTTGTTTCAATAAAAAAAAAAGTTGAATAAGTTGGGTTAAAATTTTAAATTACATTTTTAACCCAACATTTGGGTTTGTCCATATTTGACCCAAATTTGAGTTATTATATATATATATATATATATATATATATATATATATATAATACATTATTTTTAATAACTTAGCTTAATTTCTTAATTTTTGAACTATGACAAAGTGTAAAATTTAACTTTATATTTGTAATTTAAAACCCAACTTGTAATTTTTTTTTTTTTTTTTTTTTCAAAAAGAAAACAATCAACACTAAATGAACAAAAAGTGAAAGGGTTCTGAGGAGAATACAATTTTGTAATTGGGTTTTGGAACAGGGCAAAAACAATATAAATCAGGTTTATCTTCATACTCAGGTTTCTGATATGATCACAGATTTATTTTGGAGTGTTTTCAAATGCAAAACGCATAGTTAGCCAAACATTGGTTATCGTGCCAAATCCAGAAGGAAACACGGTTTATCATTACTGAGAATCAAACTGCACGCAGTTAGAAACGGGTATAATCAAAACTGATCTCTCTGCTCTTTTTTCGAACCTATACTTTTAAACACGCACACACCTGCTGGGACCGATTCTGTGCAAAAGGTGACAGGGACGATTGATCCTGTTCATAAAGGCATCTGAACCCTAGCTGAAAGCCATTTGGAGTTGAT